ATATTTTAGAATGATAGTTTTCCACGGGAGTTCCCGATATATCGGCAAGTTGCAACCGCCATGACCTGATCGCCGAATAATACTCCGTAGCAAATGGTAGTAACTAAGTAGAAAGCTTTCATTCTAATATAAATGATAATAATAATAATAATAATTTTAGGCCCGTATTACTTAGTTTAGGCCCGTATTGAGTATTATAACCGGCTATGCAAGAAAAAAAAAATTTTTTTTGTTTAATTATTTTGTAATTTTTTTGTTGGCAGGGCTTGACATATCGATATTGTGAGATTTTGTAATAACCCTCATGATTTCCGATATTTATTTAAAAAAAAACTTTATTACGTGCAACACACATTGAAGTGTCATTTGTCTCATTTAATGACTTCGTGATTTTATTTTGCTTTCTCGTCAATTTGTGCTTAAACTACTCAAGTCAAAATAATCATTATTCCAACTCTTAAACCTCCCTTATGTGATTATTATGGATTGCAATAAAAATAAACATCTAAATTAAACTACTTTAGCCTTCATGATCGTTATTAAACACAATTATTATTGTTAAACTGAGTTTTAACTTTCATATTGATCAATATTATATTAATGTAATCAATAAGCAAAATTTTTAGCTTAACTAAGAAAATATCGATAACTTTCTTGATGTTTTCTCATTTTGTGAGTTCGGCTATTGGATTTGTAAGTTTTCTATTATTGAATTCGTATTTCTATTTAAATGATTACTATGGACAAACTTTGAATATTATGGTCGAACTTTGAATATTATGTAGAGTACAATATAATTACTGAAGTACTTCGGAAAGATATTTGAAATAAGAGCATTTTGAGTTCGCATCATGTTACCATCAATCAAAAGGAGTTGCCAAAAACTCTCGAAACTTTTCTGCTGATTCTTACTGCTGTTTTTGTAAACCAATAATAATTTTGTTTGTTAATTTTACTTGACAGACCTCAAATTTAATACTCTAGTTTATGTATTTGTTAATAATGGCCCTCTTTCGAGTTTATTGATTTATGAAGAGGTTCTATTACGAAGGTGTTAGGAATTACAATGACTTAGTTAAATTTGAAAATAAAATAAATCACACTACAAGTGAGCTTAGCCAAGACTGAAGTTTGCTTTGAAGTCAAAGGTTTGATAGGTTGAGAGGTAACGTTCAAAATTTAATATAAAAAGTGGCACTTTAGAATTTACATTTAAACGAGGTTTTGTAAACTATATTTATATGCACTGTACATTTGTCCTTTGTGCAATACACTAGCAGTGTTACTCTTATTGATAGACCTAGCGATTTCATTTCGTTCTTTCTCCAATGCGAATCTATCAACAAACAATACAATAATGTCTTGAAGGTCTTTATGTTCCGATAATGAGATCGTTTCTTTGGCCCCTGAGAGCGTAGATGTCAATCTTAAGCCCACTAAATCGAAAATGCTGCTAACGTCGATGTATTCGATTATATAAGCTCCGACAGAAGACCATACATCAACTCAATCAACATTTAAATAATAATTTAGGTTATAGACACCGATTTATTGAGATTTTTTGTAAGGGAACGCACGTTTCATTCTTTTTCACTGTTAATAGATGTCGTTAGTGTTGAGAGTGATGTGTCGTTACATTTCGATTTACTTATCAATGTAAAGATAAATATTGTTTATACGATTTTTTTTATTCACTATGGGTTAGTGGTTGATTAAATGTTTTTCAACATAGATATTTTGACTACCTAAATAAAGAAAGAATTGGTTCGCAAAACCCAAACCATATTTCAATTTGAAATTAAAAACAAAGTTTATTTTAAGTTCAAAATTAATTTAATTCTTAGTTCGGTACAATATTTTTAGTTATGCTGTTATACTGTATTGTAATATATAGGACTTTTCATTTATACAATAACTAGCTTTCCGTCACCGGCTTTGCTTGCGTGGTCTTGTATTATACATAAAAACCCTCCTTTTGAATCACCCTGTCTATTAAAAAATCCGCATCAAATTCCGATGCATAGTTTTAAAGATATAAGCGTACATAGAGACAGACAGACGGAAAACTACTTTGTTTTATACTATGTATTAAAGCGTAATAAGCGAGTTAATAAATTAGTTATAACTATTAATAGCGCCATCTATTAATAGTTTCAGGTACATAGTATAAAACAAGGTTTCCTCCCACGGTCTTTATGTCATAATAGAAGTATAGAATGATTCAAAAGAAATATATGGATAATATAGGAAGCCACTGGCGAATAGCAAGTTTTACATACAAAGGTTTACTTACATTGTTTAAAATTTGTCATGCTAATCTGGATGTGAAAGGAAGCAAGGAAAACACAGATTGTGCGACATTTTTGTAAAAGTCGACTCAGAAAATAGGCTTTTATGTTGCCCTTTTTGTAGACGAATCCCCTGTCAAGTTTGTAGCACTGAGTGACGTGAAGAACGGAACCTATCTACCTTTTTATTGGCGGTAAGTATAGTATCATTATAAGATCTAACTTTGACTGAGTAAACACGATCATGTTTAATTCATATTTATTTATAGAAACAAACGGTCCTACAAGAAAATAAGTATAGATATGTATATACAAACAGACCTACAGTTTTAAACGTGGTACGACCATTTAAAAGTGGTTTTATTAAGATTATAATAATTATAATAGATTCAAAACTGATGATTTTTAAAATTTGATTTTATTTGCTAATATTTTATATCTATTGTCAATAATATTCATCTTGAAATGTAAATACGACTTTGAATGGTATCTTGAATCAAAATGGAATCAAGTTCATATAATTATTCGGTATATTTCTATTTTAAAATTTATTTGAAACAATCCTTTAGGGCGAGGTTTTACAAAATTACCACTTTTTAATTCAATTTTATTCTAAAGATATAAAAAAATTGGTTTTGAATCAATTTAAAATGTTCAACGCTTTTTTCATTACTGCATTTGGCGCATCTTAACATAAGCGGAGGTACAGCTACAGATGCAGGAGGTACACGCACGACGGGGCCTTAAATGCGAATTTAATTAAAATAAAGAAGGTTTTATAAAGGGTCAGTTGTGTTATGAAGTTGTAGAAATTAGTTTGACTAACCTGATCATTTCTTTTAATGGAAATAAAATATAGATTTAGCATTGCAAAATTTAATTTGGTAGACTTTTAAAATCAGAATTATAGTACTGTTTTCTTTTTTAATTCTGATATGATTACATAAAGAAAACTCGACTGGTTGTCTCTTTTAACAAGCTTCCGAAGACATGGAATGTGTCTCTGCATCATTTATCAAATTATTCATAGCAGATGATATATTTTTGGAGTTTGTACGTTATTTATAACTTCGTTATTAGACTATCTTTTGGAATGTTATATTCTATTAAAGTACCTAAATAAATTAAAATATATTGTTGATTTAATTGTGTTGTGTTATAATCAATTGATAACGATCTATCGATATTTATATTTTCATGGATAACTCATTATAAAAATGCATTTTTAATTCATGAAGATTCTTATTTTCTTTTCTTCATGTCACATAACATTATAAATTAACACCTTCACAACAAAAAGAGTACGGTCTATAACACGCCACGAGGATTGGTGAGTGGTAACTGCTGCAGAAGTATATGAGGTCAACTGCTTAACGTGTCAGCAACTTTCTCTAGGGTCGGTGATAGGAAAGGTGGCCAAAAATATATTATCTCGCGCCTCCGTGCTTCGGAAGGCACGTTAAGCCGTTGATTTCGGCTTCATCTACAGGCCAGCGTAGTGGGTAATGGCCCGTTTCCCTAATCAATTCCATAGGCATAGGAAAGGACTGAGCTTCATCAGAGGGAACATTACTAGGCTGGTGATGATGACTGTTATTTGTTCGAGTATTCGTTATTTAAAATATGGTAACCATTCATAACCTTTAACGTAGGGGAATGCTTTGCGCTGTCCCCACCATTTGAAAAGCGGCAGGTGTGATTGGGACTCTTCATCTGCAAGCACCAAAAACTAGTCGTAACGCGGATGGCATACTCATTTAATGCCTTCTGTGCACCCTCTTTCTTTTGGGCGAACGACCTGATATCCAGCATTTCACACCTAGCTCCCAAATATTTTTAACCTAAAGATTTGTCTTTATTTCAATAATAAATCGAATGTATTCGTTAACGATTATAGAAAATAAAATATATTTATTAATTTAAATGTTATTATTTTTAGCATTTGTTCATTTTCCTGTAACGTCTCCGACTGTCGAGTTTCTCATGGTAAGATTTCGAACTAATGCCTAAAGGCAAACCGCGTCACGTTTCTAATATTTGCACAGAAGGAGCAATCCACCGATATTGGCGGTATTTTGATTTATGTCTGTTTATATCCCTTTAGAAAAAAATGATTTATTTATATAAGAATTCAATAAAGAGAAAAAAGATTCAATTTTTTAGAACGATTTCCATTCGAAGTTATTATAAGATATAACAATATTTCTCGTTAAGTGCATGTTAATTTTTAAGTTAAGAAAACTGCTTAACTCGTCTTGTATTATTTGCAAGGAGCCATGCATGATTTCATATTATGATTAGAAAAGTCTGTATTAGATGTTGTGATCTATAACGTATTTTGATGATAATGTATGACGTAGGTTCATTATCTTCATACACTGTCAACTTTATTATATTTTTTCCTTTTTTCTCCAAGGAAGCCTAGGGCTCGTTTAATTACCGATTCAAATTCTATTAATAACGGATCCTATTCGATGTTTGTTAAATTAGTATTCATTCCGAGCCATGGGTATTTCTAGTCTGTCGGTATACTGAACGCCAATATAATGAAAAAGAAGCACTGGCAGTAATTGATTGCATAGTTAATCTACTGAATTACAGTTAACGTATAAAATTAATAACTCTATTAAGAAAAAGTTCATTATGTTGAAAAGATACAGTATAATTAATATTACGGTAAATATAGATAGATCATTTTAAAAAAGAACTTACCATGTGTATAAAGTGGTGGCACTCGATATTTCACTGCCGCAGTACATGCGATAGCTCCTGCGCCGCCCCCGAGTTGAAGACCATGTGATAAGACCTGCACAATGGTCCCTACAACGGTGATAGTCCAGCCCCATCCACCTTCAGGGTAGTACCGACGGGCGAGAGTGAGAGCTGCCCGCGCACGTAGAGCTGCTGCCGTTTCAGCACCAACCGTAGCACCAGCACTTGCACACCTGACACACACACACTTCAAAAACTGCACCAAATAAGGATCTACCTACTGGCTTAATGACTAACAACGTGCCAGTGGATAAACCCTAAAACAACCCATTCTTACTAACGCACATGATAACGCACTAACCGTCTAAATTGAGTCACTTCTCGTGCTGCTTCATATCCCACACTCTTGGAACGGCCTCGTTCCGAAATTTTTTTATAACCGTCCGGTAAGTTTGTCCGGTTCCCGGTGACACCACAAGTACAGAGCAAATCCTCCGCGCGCAACTTAGGCGCAGTTCTGAACTGCTCTGCATAACGTTCTTGACAGTCACATTCTCTATTCTTCCAAGGCAAGAGTCTTTCCAAGAAAGTGCGACGCCTAACCAAGTTAGTGCTTTGGACGGTAGCCTTGGGTTGGCCCGTGTCCAGAGGATATGACGAGCAACGGTCGACCTCCTGTGCGTTGACCCCAACTCTTCTATTATCAGAAGTGTTTTTCCTTCGAGAGCCATTGTTGCATGTAAACGTCTGAATGAAATTGTGCGTAATGGGATTTTTTTTGTCCGCTCCATAGATCGTGTGATCGTTTTTAACGGGGAAGCCATTTTTTATCTTCTTGACATCCGTGTGAAGGGATTTCCAGGTCGCGATAATTTGATCGCGAGCGGGCTCTGCGAAATTTGGTACAGTATTTGAGTCGGGAATTTTGTTTGCAATTAGTAAGTTTGTTCCGGGTTCTCTTGATGTTGATACTGGAGCATCTCTAAGCCTTATGGGCAGACTATCACACCGGCGAAGAGTCATTGTAATAAAGTTTCGGTGGTCCCATTTTTGTATACACGGCGCACAAAACTTAGTCACATGTCACACAAATCTGAAACAAACACGAATTTATTAACGGAGCTTGAAATGAAATGTTATTTTATCATTAATATTTTGTTTGAAGATTTCATTGCAATATTCGAAGTTTACTGCTACGGCACATTTGCTAAATATGAAGTAGGAAAGGAGAAGGATGATGCCGCAATGGTTCAGTTCAGAAGTAAACCGATTTTCGCATTGCGATAGTTGCTTAATAACTGTATTGCAGACCGAGCGCGCTCACCACTACACCATCGAACCCTCATCTATTACATATATCGATGTAAATATAAAAAATAAAATTGATAATATGAAAATATTATAAAGAATGGTGAAAGGAATAAATAAAACATAAGCACTTTGTACTAATGTACGTTTAGTTATAAGAAGAAACTTTACAGACGCCACGTGGTGTAATTATTAAATCTCAAACTTGGACCATAGCACAGCTTGGGTTCAGTTTATTCGTGGAAGTATCCAATCCAACTGTGAACTGAGTTCATTGAGTTAGTAATGTTGTTATATCGTTTTAATCATTCATTGTCTGAGTAGATTTAGGAATTTCCTTCTAATATATAACGTATTAATTAACCTATTAAATAGTTTTGTTTTGTAATAAATTAATTAATATAAAGAGCAATGTGTCTTATTTAATATATAGAGCAATGTGTATTAAGTATCTTAAGAAATAAATTTATTGTATACGTCAAAGTGCATTTACAATCCAACAACATATTTATTTTTTTAATTGGAAATTGCTGAATATGTGTAATACCATAGATCTTAGAACTGAGTTACAACTCATTGTTACAAACGCTGATAGATGAGACCTGTGAGAACAGATTTCTAATACTTAAAACGGTATCCTTAATTAAAACTAGGTTTAAGATTTATTCTAATATTCAAAAGTTAAAAAGTTTATGTAGAGAAATAGACAATTATTATTAAATTGGATTGCTAGTAACAATGGATACTTACGGTACACCAAATCCTAGCTAGTGAAACGGAATTATTTAGACATTATAATGTCTTCCACGAAATATTCAGCGACCACTTAATATTATGTAAATTATATTTGAAATGGTAATGCCTAAAACGTTGAATCTACGGACAATCAATGATTTGGTATAAGAGATTCCAGTGAATTAAGTCTCGGTAATACCACCACGGCGATGATTTATGTGTTCCCATTTGTATGTTTTGAAACATACTATATATCTAAGTTACATTATTTATTACACTTTCACTACAAACAGAAAAAAACACACGTAAATTTTAGATCAAAATACAATTTCGTTTCTTTGTTATAACAAAGAAGTTTTAATTTTTGCTTATCAGGTTTTCACTATCTTAATGAATTAATTAAAAAACTAAATAATAAAACTAAATTTGAAATAAGTCACTCTAGTCCATTACGCAGGGATCAGGCAAAACTTTAATGTCCACTTAAAGGAAAGCTAGATTTATTTTCTTTTCTCATTTCAAACTAACGATCCTGTTGTTTGTCGCAAGTGTTCTTACATATTCTTTTACTAAGCAAGAAAGAATAAATCTAACTTATCCTACCCCGATAAGACATCTGATGAACGAACACCGACTGGACTTAAAAATACAAGGTTCCTTATTAATATTAAATGAGACATTTAACGTAAGTACTAATTTCGGCTTATTATGCTTATGAATCTTCATAATACTTACATTACATTTGTGACGATTCTTGTAATATATCATATAAAATATTTATTCCGGAAGGTTTTCTTTTATTCCGGAAAGAGTAAAAAATATTCTTAAATAAATTATCAAAAGAAGTAAGTCTAATTTGTTTAACTATGAACAATTTTTCTTCTTTTCAAATAAAAATGCAGAAAATATAGTCATTATATAACCCTAAATTACGTAATGGGATAAATATCATATAAATATAAAAAATCGATTGAAGTGTACGTATAGGTACCGCAATAATTTTTAAAATACGAAAATATAAATAAAATTAAGGAAACATTTTTTTATTTTACCTCTTTGCCTGTTTCCGTACTCTCCAATGAAAATACTTAAGTGATTAGAAAAAAAAAAACTTTAAGATAGTACTTTCTTCGTAACAAAAACACCAACGTCATCGGTTAAATCTAAAGCTTGCCATTCAAGTCTAACTTCAGTAAAATGCACGCCAGCAATCCACGATAAGAACTATGAAACCGTAAATTGTTAATCTATACTTAAATAGTGAAAGCAATCGTAACATAGCAGACTAAGTTTCAAAATACCCTATTGTTTTGATAGTCTAATTTTTCGCTATTCCCTTTATTCGAGCTCAAATCTGCCGTCTGTCTGCAGTTAAACAAAGCGAAACGAATAAAAAAAAATCGAGCAATTGAATAGAAACTATAATATTAACACTAAAAGAAGGCTAGGTGCAGAACTTTACAGACGTCATTCCATTTCGTTTGCTATTCATAGTGACTGTTAGTAATTACATGGCCTTCTTCTTTTGTGTTACGATTTTTGAAGACAATTGAATATCAAGTCCCATTCGGTAAAATAAAATCAAGTTAAATAAAGTGTGAAAATCACTTGAGTCTATTTTATAGTGAGATTTTGTGCATAATAAAATTTTACCGATTTCCAGTCGATCAATTATTATATTATCGTTTATAATAAGGTATGCTTAACTTAAAGTTAAATTTACTTGCATTTAATGACCCAAAAGTTGCTACATTTTTTTTTGTTGTATTATTTTATTGATTTGCGACAGAAAAACCTGTTGCCAAGAATAGACAATGTATTTATTATTCTTGTTACAAAACTTGGGGATGTGTAATTTTTTGTGGTAAGTTTTTTTTGCTTCACTTTGGTTTATTCGCTTAATACGAATACAAAGTTTGGTACTTACCTATTTCATCAGTGAGTTTTGATTAGCATTTGCATTTGAAATCAATTTGTTACAATAAAATCATTGCTTATAATAGGGATGACAACTAATTTTCATTTGTTTGATTACTGAAAAATATTAAATACTTATTTTTTAATTTTTTTGTATAATCAATAAACTATGAAATACATTAAGTTGAAATGTCGCATAACGTCACGCTTTTGTACATTTTCTACCAAACTGTGACGTAGCGAGCCCCCACTCCTCAACTTAAATGCATATTATCTAAGCTATTTCTGTTTCTGTTTAAATTGAAGCAAAAAAAAAAAAATATGTGTCTAAAAGTTTTCTATTATATGACTGACAGACTAAATAGATTTTTTTTCGGTCGTCATCCGTATTAGACATTGCAATTATATTTATTAGAGTTCTGCTTCCTACTTTAAAAGTACACTTTTCGAGGCAGATTATAATTAAGACAACACTATGGTGTATTTTTTGTTGGTTGTCCATATAAATAAATAAAATAAAAATAAATTGGCAATAATAAATGTAAGTTTTCCAAGTTTTCTGAAGCCCGATTCACACTTTTATACTTTACTAGCTTTTCCCACGACTTCGTCCGACTCCAGTTCAAACTGATACATTTATATCCTCCATCATCTCTTATTTTATCCCCAAGGGGGTTGAATATATCAAAATCCTATTTAAGCGAATCTGAAATTAATTCAGTTCAATCAGTCGAAAATCTAAAAAGATTTATACAAACTTTCACCCCCTACTTTATCCCCCTTGGGGGTGGAATTTATCAAAATCCTTTCTTAGGAGATGCCTACGTCATAACATCTACCTGCATGCCAAATTTCGGCCCGATCCGTCCAGTTTCAGTTATGTATATTTAGATGACAAAAGAGTAAAATTGTTAGTATAAATTTAGTTGTACAACACGTTTGTGCTTTTATTTCAAGCTCGATTTACTTGTGGCGAGTATTTATAGCCAAAAAGAACTTAACTTACCGCACAGACAATTGCTGACATCTGACAAGGATGAATGGTGTGTTAGGTTCACATATCTAACTTTTCAACACACATTTAACTTGTGACACTATTTGGAATGGATTTACTACTACATAATATTAGATAGCCATTTGAAATAATAACTTTATAATGGTATCTGTGCATTTTTTATAATTTGAGAAATGAATGTCGGTAATGTAGGTAGTTATTTTATTCGTTAAGTAATGTTTTTAACGAATTCAGTTTCAAAATATTGGGGCATCTGTAGATGAAAAGATATATTTGAAGATCTAAGGGAATAATATACTATATATTCTATTTTCATTAATATGTCAGATAGGTTGGGCAATAATTTTCGTTTTATCAATTGTACTAAGGATATCTTGACACTTTGTCCCATTAATTACTCACTAAATTACTTTTGGCAATATAAGAACGTCTGTGGTACAGTTTGTTCACAATACTTACATTGAGATATTTATTTAACTTCCATTCAATAAAAGCTGTAGTATAATACACAAGAAAACAATTCTCTAATAAAATACATTAATTATTATGATATAAATATTTTGTTTTATACTAACATTAATTACCACAAATTTTTCATAATTGCGCAATATTAATTATTATTTAGAAATTATAAAAATTAATAAAATATTTCAGCGTATGTTGTCAAAAACAATGTGTGTAAAAGTATCATAGTAATAATTTACAAAAGTTATAAAATTCGATTTTGTTTTATATGAAATTTTACATGAATTACAATCGAATTAGCAATCAATCATGATATGAAGTTCTAAATACATATGATAAGTGGAATAACCTGAGAATAACAGAACAACGCCAAATAACAAGGGTCCTGTACCTGTTTATATGAAGGCCAATTAATTAATAAAACATCCAAATTCAAGGACCATTCGGAGTTCCATTCCAATTAATTACCTACGACGGAATTTCTGCTATTGTCCGGTGTCGTATTGTATTTACATTTTTTGGGGTTATTCTTAGGAATATAAGGTGAAAAAGAAACCGAGAACGACTTCGAAAATTCGAAAAATATATTTAAAAATATATTACGGCCGTTTTTTATTTAATCGAATAAGGATAATGGCCTACCCACGAATCCC